TGCTATGTGGACTACAATGAAAGCGGCCTGTAACAGAGGAAATGGTGAATTAATAAAATAAGCCCCCTGAGTAGAACACTGTTTGACTAGTCAGAGGGCACAGAAAAGGGATGGAGGGAAGGGTTTGGCAGAATAAGAAAAACTGAGAAGCACAGATAAAATGGCACTGTTTGTACATGTTTTGTGGCTGTCAATAGGTTTGCACTGGTGCGCTGAATATATAAAGGCCTAATGCACGCTGAGTGTATTTCATATTATCCTTTAGTGAATCAAGAAGGAAATAAATATATAAGTAAATGACAAGTTTTTGTCTCAGTGATCCCCGAACAAGACACACACACACATATTTTTTTGCCTGCCCTTCTTACTTACAATCAAGCAGCTTATCATGCTGCTCACACAGCATCCTGTACAGCATCTTTAAGTATCAATAAAACCCTAGCTGCAATCACCACATTAAAAGAGAGGACAAATGCACCTCTTGACCCAGACACATCTGGTTAATGGAAATCTGAAACATTAATAAAAACGCTATCGGTGAGCAATGCTCAGCTGCACACGACTCAGTGGAGCTGTGAATGAATATGCTCATTTTGCACGGTTGCTACATACCGAATGGGCACAATCTTAAAGGTGTTCCTTACTATAAAAACAGTTCATCTTCATTTGAAACAATGATATTATTTGGAGTCTGTGTTTGTGGATGTGTACGCATGATCCATAAAGAGATGTACACTATGTATATATTCATAGCTGACTTTTATGGCTGTGAAAACAGGTCCCACTAGTCTACAGTGGCAAACAAGCAGATATTATTTCATTCATCACCCCTAAGAGCTTATACTGTAGACTAGTAAAGCTGAATGCTGATGAGCTGACCATGAATCACTGCAACATCAAGTATGTTTATTAGAATGCTATTCAGATTTATTATTTAGTCTGGTCTGGTATTGTGACTTTGTTAAAATCTAATATAAATGACAACATTATTGTTATTTGACACTTTGGCAAATGGTTAAATAAAAAAATAATATGCCTAAGATGTATTGTTTCCATAGCGGCAACGACAACAGCAACTTCGTGTGTACCTACTACTGCACCCATTTTTGCAGAGCTGCTGGAATGGCACACCAAATGAATCATTTACAGAAAATTTTGATTTGTCAGTGCAGGATAGATGGATCCTGGTCACGCTGTATAACAAAAGCATGGGTGGGCATTTACAAAGTGTCAGGTACAGTGCAGAACAAAAATCTCCTAATCTCCTTACTCTTTGCTGTTCATTATTATTTTACAGGGCAGCCGTCCCAAATACATAAGGCCCCTACCCTGCTCAGCCCAGTCTGCCAAGCACCAATGCTGGGTTTGATATTCTTCCAACATCCAACAGGCTATGATTATTTCATTCCTTTTTTAACATAACGCATCAATTATTCAACCTTTGCGAGACCAGATTTGATTGCGTTTTTATTTAACAAAAATGACTGTGTGTGCGCGCGCCTCCACCCATCTAAAGGAAGACTGAATATAAAACGTTCCGCAAAGATAATACCTCATGGCTTGAAAGAGTGATGGATGGTGAAGGGGGTGGAGTAGAAGGAGAAAGAGAGAGAGAAAAAAAAATACAAGTACTCTGGAATAAATGATGACTGCATTAGCATAGGATAGCACAGGGTCCCTTCACTCTACAATAAATTGCTCCCCGTCTTCAAGGCAAACTGCCCACACAACAAGTGCAGCCATGACATTGGAAAGCGGGTGTGCACGGGTGTTTGCTTGGACGGATTCTGCTGGAGTGTAGCACTGCTGCAGCACTGCAACAGCCATGGAAAAAAGATTCGGTTATTATGTAGCAAAACAAATCTGTTACATCCAGGTTTTTCAGTGCAGTTAAGTAAAGTCAAACACCCAGCAGTTAGCGGGGTAAACTTTCATTGTTTAAATGTAATGAAGGCCTTAAACTTAGTGCTCAAAGCATTTCATTTTTGTATTAATTAGTCTGCGACGCCCAAGACTCATTAATTCACACCTTTTCAAAAAATTATCCCTTTATCCCTTCGCCTCATTTCCTCTTTCTCTCTCTCTCTCTCACACACACACAGGCTCACTTCACCTCTCTCTTCCCTGCCATTCTTCTCCTCTCCTCGCATCCTCATCTCTGCTAATGAGCCTACTTAAATCTATGCCAAAACACAAACAGCATGAGAAAAAGAAATAGGTACAGTGCTTAGTCTGTTTGTTAAAGGATTCATCATGTGAGCTGTTTTCAATAAATAATAAATGCAAGCGCTGACTTTTGTCTGCAGACGAGACTTTGGAACATGAATTATGCATTGTTATTCTTGGATAGGCCAACACAGGGACAGGGTGGCAGTGTGTGTTGTGTGTGCGCGCGTGGAAGTGTGTGTACATGAGGGTAGATCCTGATACACACTGCGAAGACAATGTTTCTGAGGCTTTACAATCAAGGCATGTGGACACAGCTCACTGTGATTACAACTCGAAAGACATTGTTTTGTTTGCAAATACACATGCTGCCTAAACCTTAAGCTCCTGGAAACTCAGCAAGACGTTTCTGTTTCCAGTTAGAAAGTTGAAAGGATCGCAAACTGCACTGCTCGACTATTATTAGTCGTTTATCTTATTCTAATCAAGTCTCTTTTATGGTTGGATGATGAAGGGCAGGATGTGTGTGTTTTCACTCAATTGCCCTGTGTGTGTGTGTGTGTGTGTGTGTGTGTGTGTG